TCTCATACTTAGGCCATAATAAAAATATTGTTTGTTTGCCCTCACCCGACCGACCCGACAAAAAGGGGGCGTTGTACGCTCTCATACTTAGGCCATAATAAAAATATTGTTTGTTTGCCCTCACCCGACCGACCCGACAAAAAGGGGGCGTTGTACGCTCTCATACTTAGGCCATAATAAAAATATTGTTTGTTTGCCCTCACCCGACCGACCCGACAAAAAGGGGGCGTTGTACGCTCTCATACTTAGGCCATAATAAAAATATTGTTTGTTTGCCCTCACCCGACCGACCCGACAAAAAGGGGCCTACTCAATCATTTTTATTGATCTTTCCCATTCTTTTTTTTTTTTACAAATTGTATCGCTGTACATTATATAAATCTGTAGGCAATACATTATATGTACCAAGCAAAACAAACATTCAACATAAAAGGTATCTCCACACAAGCACACCCGAGCATGTAGACACCATGCTGAATTTGTAAAAAAAATTTAAAACCTCAAATCTACCTACCCAAACTTTTCAGCCTGGGTCGGGTGAGGGCAAACAACGATTTTTTTAATTGTGGCCTTAATACGCTCTGGATACAACCTACCTGCAGGTTGGTTCTTAGTTCAGACAGGAACGTGACAGGGCTGCGCGTCTTGATGTAAGAATCGAGGTCCTTCTTGAAGCTGGCCGGCTGGATCACAGTGATGAAGTTTGTGAGGATGCGTGGTGGGTGGTTAATCTCAGGCAGCATGTCCACCTGCAGAAAGAATCGAAAAGATAGAAATTGAGAAAAATACAGAGACTCCCCGACTTACGAACAGGTTCGGTTCCGAGCGGTCATTCGTAAGTCGATTTGTTCGCAAGTCAAACATATGTACGTACGTATACAGTATTGTACAGTAGTGTAGTATTTGTGGAGCACGTGCACACGTGTGATCGATGCCACTAGAGTAACACACTATTGTTTAGGCAAGATTTTTTTATTTTGTTGGTTTACAGATCCGCCGACCCAAATTTTCAAGAAAAACGAAAAAAAAATATAAATTGAAAATCTGTATTTTTTTATTCCCGCCGACCCTTTCTCTAAGAAATATGAATAAAAAAATGTAAATGTAAAAAACAAAAACATTTTATAAACAAACAGTTTATAATAAAAGTAAAAATAATTTTGAGTTTTGTTTTCATTTAGTTTCCTTAAAATACTTTAATATCATGTATAACAGTATCACTGTATTTTGACTTGTTTGATCTGACAAAACGACAATGTTTTTTTTGTTTTTTTTTACCCTACCGAGTCAACAACAACAACAAAAATTCTGTAAACAAAAAAACAAAAAAGGTAGCCTTACATCTCGGCGCTTCCCGCGCTACATCGCCGCCACCACGTGGCGGATCTGCGATATAAACCTTGCACCTAAATTTTGTTCGACTTCAGGGCAAATTGTTCGTATCGTGGAAATTTCGAATATCGAATGTTCGTAAGTCGGAGAGTAACTGTACTACAATCTATTAAATTTTTTTTAAAGCATGACCAGAGGTATCAACATAAGTGTTCATAACAAAAAGAAGTGGACTAAAAAAAATTGGGGCCAGTGTGTGTGTGTGCGTGCATGGGTGGGATGGGGTGGGGGTGGGGGGATTCTGTCCTCTTCTTATGTCCAGCTGTGGATTCTGTGCAATTAAAAACACATTTGGTTACATTTCCCGATAAGACTTTTCCGATAATTTTGCAAATACAGGAATCTATTTAATTCGTAACATAAAAACTTGGATGCGGGTAGCAAATGTCAAATGTGTCAACGACTCCAGGAGCTAAGATATCACGACAACCACACTTCCAAGACATCACATCGCAAGCTTCCCCCCCCCCAAAAGAGAATGAGTGTGGTGGCTCCTCCTACCTTGAGATTGGGAGTGAACGAGTGCAGGACTACTAGAAGGAATGAGTCAACCCCATCTACGACAATCACACTTGCAAGACATGGTCACACCCGCGACCAGGATACGAACCTGGGGGCCGTTGTCAGAAACATCGTAAAGTTAATGCTAATGTTAATGCTAAGATAACACTTACGACTAATGTTAATGTTACGAGAGGAGCGTTGACAGAAACACATCGCAGCTATTAGAAAACTTACGATAACAGGAACTTCATCACAAGGCTGCTGATTGGATGAGAATCGATCACAAAATTCAAATTCATACACATTGATTGTACATCACAGTAATTTATGCATATTATGATGGCTAACCACATATAAATAATATTTGATGAAAAACGACGCGGTCATGAATTTATTCTGCACAACAAGACAAATTTCCACACTGTAACACGAGACGCGAGAGTCGTGGCAAGCGTGGCAAACATTTAAAACAAGAGAACAAATGCCATACGCCATTTGTAAATGTTTTGTTTTGTTTTATGATTGGTAGATAATTAATGATTTTGACGTGTTTTTCAAAAAAACAAACATTTTATTCATTATTATAAAATATAATATCACTATAATTGTAATTCGTAGTGTAAATGTGTTCTTTTCAACTTAACATTAAAGTTACGAGAGGGTCTGGGCGCTCGTAATGTTAAGAGGATATTTTCGAAGATTTTTCATTCTCGTAACTTTGCGATGTTTCTGTCAACGGTTTACGAGTGGAAGTTAATGTTAAGACTAATGTTAAGACTAATTTTGTTTCTGACAACGGCCCCTGGGTTATTATGGCGAAGGCATTTACCCTTCCTTACACACCACAAGCTCCCCCCCCCCCCGAGAGAACGAGTGCGGGCCCCTCCTACCTTGAGATTGGGCGTGAATGGGTCCGGCAGCCTCATGTTGCGTGGGAAGGCACTGAGGATAAGGTTGCGCATCTGGATGCAGTTCGGCGGGATCACGTCGCAGAAACCGTAGTGGTAGTCGCACAGAAACTCGGGGAAGTCGTGCAGCAGCACGAGCAGCAGACGTAGAGTTCCCTGCATGCAGACAAAAAGCCAGCCGTTGGTTACACAGCGCAACGCTCTATCACGTAGTGAAGAAACCCCACGTTAATCAGGTAACCGGTATATCCATCTGGGTTATTCCATATACGTGCTTTATAATTATTTTTCACACTAGATGGCGCTAGGATGTCAAAATTAAACAGCACCAACGGATCACTATATCTCCCCCAGAAACCTACTACCTTACTAATGCCGTGAAAACTACTACTACCTTACTACTACCTTACTACTACCTTACTAATGCTGTGAAAACGTGTCCATGTTGCCCAGCGGTTACATAGCACAACTTTTGACACCAACTGACAGCTTTAGAAACACAGCTTTACAAGCTTTTTCTCGCTAACATATAACCCCTGCGGTTCCACATCACCGCAAAATGACAAAAAGGAGCCGTAGTTGTTTCCCCGATCACATACCCCAAACGCTGTTCAACACGATGAGGGGCAGCGTGAGAGAGAAGTTACTGTTGCACCTGATACCAAGTTGATCAACCACTACATAGGAAGCCAACTTGAACAGCTAAAGGTGCCCGATCAGATTCAATACTGATGAATAAACAAGTTCGTAAATGCTACTTATGTTTACCTGAAATACATCACATTACCCATAGTAGAATATACCCCCATAGTCCCATAGTAAAAATGCATTACCCATACCCCCATAGTCCCATAGTAAAAATGCATTACCTGAAATTCGACATTATCAATCATGATTAACCTACGTGCAGATACAAGAGGTGTGCAATTCATGCCGATAATGCACTTTTCATGTACACGTTCAAGATCTACGCTTAAAAACAGGATAAAACCGTCATCGCACGATGCGCACTGCCCATGACTCGCCAACCTGCTTGTAGTTTTGTATGCGTACCTTGTAGAGTAGTTGAACAGGCTTGGCCATGTCAGCGTTGCGCAGGAACGGTGCAAGGAATTTGAAGAGGTCAACTAGGAGCTGAGAATACATGCCCCATGCCTGCGAGGCATAATTCTGTGTAAATGCAAGACCAAACAAACCTAATGACATAAATGCCAATACCGCTATCGTACCTTAGCAATAAAACCCATGTTCAACGTTAAAGCGAGTGCGTAAACCGTCCTAGCGATAACAGAATGCGAAAACCGAGATTTCTGAAATGACAGCGCCTACAGCTTCGTAACAACAGTTAAGTGTGCTTCGTACCTTCTGCTGTGGTGTGATGGCCAACATCCTGGAGAGGAACACACGATGAGATACTACCTCTAACCAAGCGTAAGCAAAACCTGGAGCCTTGCCCGGCCGCAGGATGTGTAGCGTGTTGCTGAAATCGCACGACAACCCCAAATGAACATAAAATATAAAGTCTGCATCAAGAACAAACATACAAACAATAACGTTATTTATTTATAACGTATTTAGTTCGACATTTCAGACAAACACATTAAGAATTCAATTAAAAAACCTTCCATACACTCACACCTTTACACATTTACTTTACACTCTATTTAGAAGATGAGAATTTTAAGGCATATTTCGTAAGAAATCACAGTTTCAACGCTACCGTCCGAAGCCTTTGTCCACAACTCTTAGCGCCACCATCAGCACTTCTTTCGTAAGAAATGACGGTTTCAACGCTACTGCTTTCACCAGATTATCAAAGGGGGGTTCCAGGACTCAAAAAAGGTTAAGAACCACTGGTCCAAAAAGCCTACGTCTCAGCAACATCATCTGACAGCACTCACCAGAATGCTGACAGCACAGGGAAATTGATCGCTTCCAGGATGATCTCCGGCGCGTTCAACTCTAGGAAGAGCATGATGAGGATGCGGTGGTACGGCAGCTGCTGAAAGTCGGTGCCCCTCACCTCGTGGTCCTGCAGCAGGAGCCCCGCGACGAGGCCGATCACCTGTAACCACGACAACGAGAATCGTGAAGCCAACTATATTAACTCACTGCATTCTCAGTGATCATCAAATGAGCAATGATTTAACCAGCACTAGTGTCGACTTGTTTAGTAGGTTTAATACTTACTCGAATAAAATTTACTGGACTAATAATAATGAGGCGGACAATGGACGGCTGAGATCATGAAGCCAGCTGAAGCCATTCTCGGTGATTGTCGCGAGTCTGAGCAACGATTTCATACGATTCTTATACGATGTCCAAATATTTGTCACATTTTTATTTCAAGCATAGTTAACGAATGGCTGCAATCATGAAGCCAACTGGATCGACTCAGAATCGATCATCTGAGAATGGTAAGCTGACGAGAGTGAATGATGACGTGAATTGATGACAACGACGAGCCGAGTCTGATCACTAGTGTCACCTTGTTCAGTAAGTTGATCTTGGTCACTGTGCTGTTGACATCCCCGGAGTGCTTGACCAGTAGTGCGATGAGTCGCACGTACGCGTCCAGCGTGTGGAAGCACTTGGCGCGGATCAACGTCGTAGACTGCTGCTCGCCGAGTGCGCGGTAGCACAGCTCGACACACATCTCAGTGCACAGCCGAAAGAAGCGTGTTATCAGGTCGTCCGTCTTTAAAATGCCCTGCTGGTGCATCTGTTCAGCAAAGAATCACACATGGTCGAGTGAATTGCACGAAAGAATGAAATAATTCACTTCTGTACGGTGTGTACGAGATAGGACTGTATTTATTCGATAGCTGTATTTCGATACACGACTCAAACTGTCGATTAACGCTTGCTGACTACACAAAGACGAATGAAATCCCAATAAAATCAACTAATCTTTTCCCGCGCTCTCTCTCTCGCGCCCTCTTCCCGATAAATTTAACGATGGCGATAACGATATCAGCAAAAATGCTAAATCCTTCAGAACGTCGGAGCTACGGTCAAAACCGCCGCGTTCGTATCGCGTCACTTTCATGCTTATCAATCCACCTATCGCCAGAAATCAGATAAGATTACGATTTGCGACATTTACATGATTTTAATGTGACGTTAGTATTTACTGATATAAACACACACAAGGTGAAAGTAAGAGAAACGCCCGTTCCCACTAAACAACAACCAACAGAAATGATAGTGACGTTACCACCATCTCGAGAACGATTAGCCAGTAGTAAATGCCACACTACTACCACACACACACACACCTGCCCTACAAACGCAGAGAATGCCTTGGTGCTGTCCCGGCCAGCCGCAGGTGAATGGTACATGTTCACCCACTCTCTCAGTAAGAACTCGGCCTTCTCATGCAGTCCCGGCGGGTCGTCAAACTGATCTCTCGCCTATTAATAAGACACCCTTGCTTTTAGTTTAGGTTTAAATATACAAAAATTAATAAATTTAAAAAATTTAAAAATTAAACCCCTATACAATTAGTTTTTTTTTTACGCGATTTTTGCTCAGAGACACTCGATCCAAACAAATATGGCAAAATATAGTCTCACCTCACCGCGGATATATCCCTGATTACCCTAACTTGAAAAACACTAAGATTTTATGCAGTTATAGCATAGAAAATTGGATATGAACACATTGTAACACAAGGAAAATAACAGCGAGTCACGAGATTTGTTAAATGTGTCAACTTGTAATTTGTCGGTGCAAACGAGATTTTGCGAGATGTATAAGTCTATGAACGTTAGCTGACGCTAGTAGCACTACTAACTGGTCCAAGATTACAAGAAAAGGCTCGCTGGTAATCGAACTTGCATGTTTTGGTGAATACGAAGGTTCTAATACATTTTATCGTTACTCTAGACAGTTGCTGTTAGTCAAGCAATAACAGTATAACGTAATTAAACGGTCAAAAAAGTGGGGGAAAACATTAGATAATTCTCGTAAATTTGGCTTTAATTCGGCCAGTTCTCGACTGACAGGGTCTACTCCGTCAGCAGTCCCGACCAATCATCTCCCTCTCAACATTCTACCTCCTATACATCAACGCACACAATACGTGCATTTTCTGATGGCCATGTTTAAATGGTTACCATAAAAAATCTGCTGCTGTAATTTCGGTTCAACGTTTATTAGCATTTCAGTAACCACACTGCTGACAAGATTAGCATGCTAGGCTAATGTAATTAGTGTTCACCTGTGAAATGCCCGAGTGCATCATGGAAGTTGGCCCGCCGGGAGCTTTGTCGAGAATCCCACCTTCAACACTTGCTTTCACCAACTCTATCAATGTGGGCAGCCTACAAACACAACATGGTTGTAGAAATTTTATATTGCATGACTTTTGTCGTTTCCCCTATTTCTATTTGTTGACTTTCCAGGAGTAGCCACTAACGTGTGTGACAACATGCATTTTCATGCAGAATATATATCGTGAACCTATTCACAAAAACTCGTCCTTTTTTCTAAAAGTAGGAGTAGGAAAATTTACCCGTCCGGGGGCTGCCTTGAATGCATAGCGATCTTAGCCAACGTCTCAATGGTGTTGTGTATATCAGACTGAAACATAAGCAGGTAAACTCAAGTGAATTAATGAGACAACAGAAAATCAGAAAACCAAAACATGACAACAACGACAATCTACGAAACCTGCAATTTTTTCCTCCATTATTAATGTTTGTGTTGGTTCACATAACCATCTACATTTGCCACTAACCTCAGAAACAGGGGTGTTGTGCTTTTCATCAATACAGTAGAGTCTAACCATTGACATGGAAAAGGCCACTGCCATGAAGTTGAGGCCACCTTCCATCGACTGTAACAAGATTAAGTTACTTAAAGTACATAAAACATACACTGCCAATGCTTGCTGCTGCTCCACATAACAACAGAATGCTCTTGCACCTACATAAATAGCATGATCAATAACCATTTATTAAAACTAAACTATATTCACACAGACACACTCTGAAAAAAACTGCGAAGCTTAACTGCTATATAAATACTCCGATATACTTCGATGTATATATACTCCTACTCTGATATAGAGGCGAATGAACCTGTCCTCAATGCTTGAGAATTCTGAAATGCATCTAAACAGTCACCTGGGATAGATGATGATCGTATTGCTGAATGTTGACTAGGTGACTTCTGATGAGACAGTCTACTGCATCGAGATTGTACTTGTACTTTTCGCGGCACTCCACCAGGTAACTGAGTAAACACAAATTATTCTTAGCTAGCTACTACTACTACTACAGAAAACAGGTCGTAAACATTTAGTTTAAATATGCGTTTCAAGAAACGTTCTGTTAAAATCAGTTTGAATGTGACTCACATTGGATTTAATTGTGGCCTCACCACTGTTATTTTCATAACAGGAGAAAGGAGATTGCATGTTTTATTACTGCATCAATGTAGAAAATAAATTCAGGAAAACACAACAGCATCATGAGAATGACATGCAAATGGGTAAGGCACCATTCGATCTCCCGTTCCCAATACTATGTGTACGGCAGCTGAAACACATTTCGTTTCAGAGTGACGATCTCTTACCGAGTCACTTGCTTGTTCGTCCAGTCGGGTCCATACGCTCGTGGATCCTGCAATGCTTTCAGAACCAACAGATGGCAGTCCCGGAACCTCACGGTCAGATCATGGTCTCCTGACAGTGGTGTGTAACCTTCCAGCAGTCCCTCCACAGCCTTCGAACACACATCACACGGAGATGATGGGAAAAATGCAAAAATACGGAAGACGAACCGCTTATAATAGTTTTTAATACATCCACAAATCGAGTGGAAACGCGAAAGCCGAGCGCAAAGGAATGATGAGTTATGGAAACTGTGAGCAGCACAGTTGCATGGCGTTCGTGAGTGTGCGCGTGTGTACGTGTGTGTGTGCGTGTGCGTGCGCTTGCATACGTGAATGTATGCGTGCATGTGTGTGCGCGTGTGCGTGCGCGCGTGGCATGCGTGCGGCGCAAGAATGCACACCTTCTGCAGCAGGAACTGCGCGGCAACGGTGTCTCGCGAGTTGCGCGCCACAATCACCGCCTCCAGCAGGCCGTGCAGTGCTGCCACCTGCGGGTTGGTCGGCGGCACCATCAAGCCGTGGATGTACTGCTCAAGGTCACTGGCGAGCTTGTCGTAAATCTGCGTCACTTCGTCCGCGGCGAAAACCTGAGCAAACACGACGTACACGTGGAGCATGACTACGTGGAACGATAAAAACGTGGAACGTGCACGCATCCTGTCGCCACGCTGTTACTAATGAAAGTGTCAATGACACTGTAGCTCACCTTGTGTGTGATAGAAGAGGGAGGGGGGTATATAAAGCAAGAGTATATATATTGGAGAACTCCCATTATATAGCATATCTCTCATTATATACTCTTGATAATGATATATGCATAAGTCTTGATGCGAAAATAAATGTTTCAGATCTGAAAGTCTGAAATCTTGACGAGAGATGGCGCTACGCCTAAATGATCGCCATTTTGATTTTCGAATATTGCGCAAATAAAAACAATAAAATATTCCAGCCAAATTTACTGTAACGAAGAATCTACAACACAATATTACACGTATATAGGTATGATTGTAGAGTTGTTAACCAGTTAGACTAAATAAACGTAATAGGACGTTGTCATCTCTCCCATAGGAGTAACAACTGTTTTAGGGCTAGCCTTACAACATTCACATGCCAGAATTTAACAAAATCGAATGAATTTAAAAAGCCATTTTCATTTTTGCCAAAAAGTGGGCGTGGCTCAAAAGTAGGTCGACTGACGTGCTCCAAAATAGGAAGTTCAAATCTCTCCCATAAGAGTAACAACTATATTCAATTTGAAACATGTGGGTCAAACGGTTCCTGAGTTATCGTTGACCGTAGGCAGACACTGAAATGCATAGTGAAATTGCCAAAATCTACCTAATTTGCATAATTTAAAAAAAATATCAAAACCCGTGTGATATGTTTTGGGGACAGTACTTATTCATTCACATACTAGAAATGAGCAAAATCTGTTGAAACTGAATTAACTTATGGCCATTTCCATTTTTGCCAAAAAGTGGACGTGGCTCGAAAGTAGGTCGACTGGAGTAACAACTGTATTCAATTTGAAACATGTGGGTCAAACGGTTCTTGAGTTATCGTTGACCGTAGCCAAATGTTGACGGACGGACGAACGTACAACGGACGACACCCCATGGGAATAGCTCATCTTGACGACGTCAAGGCGAGCTAAAAACAAACTAATACACACACACACCCTTTGGAGTCACCACACGCTAAATCAGGAATTCCGACAGTAAACGAAAAATGGAGTATTCGACTCCAAACCAATATAATTTCGAACTCTTCATCCACGTGTGCGATTCATCCACTTACGGGTGGTTTGTTGAGGAAGCTGCTCGGCTGGGAGACGGTTGGTTCAGAGCTGCTGGGCAGGAAACCCGGCACGCTGCGTGCAAACTCCTCATATACAGCAATCTGGTTGGGCGTCACACCTCCCACCTGAAAACAAGCGCCAAGATATATATAGGGTTTGCATTGAAGCACAAAAGTATCCAACTAGTTCAACAGACCTTTTCAAGTTGGTGTAATCAGTAATACATCCGCTGTGCGGTGAGACAATATTTCGCGTTTTTTTCAGGTCGAGCGTTTCTGAGCAATAAATTCGAAATAAAAGCTTTAACCACAGTAGGCAGAGACACACAATAACTAACATGAAGAATGCCGCTAGACAATGTGTGCCACTCAACAAACAATTGCAATTCTGTCGCCTAACGACGCAACTACCAATTCTGCGCTCGCACTTCATTTACGAACACGGAACTACCGTGTACATTAACAGTTGACTAAAAGCAACGCGGCAAATGGTGCAACTACCAATTCTGCGCTCGCACTGATATTTAAGAACCACCGCGTATGATAACAGCTCGTCTAAAAAGCAAACGCGGCACACGATGCAACTACCAATTCTGCGCTCGCACTTTTATTCACAAACACGGAACCACCGCGTACGACAACACAGCTCGTCTAGAAAGCAAACGCGTCAACCGATGCAACTACCTTCATCCTGATCTGCTCCGGCATCCTCTCTGCCTGGTAGGTGAGTACGGTCGGGTCGCAGTAGCGCCTGCCCTCGTTGCGAGCCAGCTTGCGCAACTCGAAGTCCGTGCCGAGCCGCTTGTCCATCTCCGGCAGCGCCTTCTCCACGGCCGACTTCTGTATGAAGCAGCAGGCCAGCTCCACGTTGTCGGTGGCAACGACGTGAGCCGTCTGCTCGATGGCATCCTTCTGCGTCTGCGTCGCGCCCTGTTAGCAAAACGAGCATCACGACGTCACATCGCATGTATGAAAGATTACCAAGAAAGAATGACGAGGTTTAACTAGAAGCTGTCTGTCATTTCGATTGAGCATCACATCACGTTGCATTTTTGCAAGCTGACGATTAACTAGCGAGAACGACGAGGATTCGAGCATCACATCACGTTACATTTTTGCAAGTTGAAGATCAACAGGTGATTAACTAGAAAGAAGGATGAGGATTAACTAGATGCTGTCAGTTATTTCGTGCTTGCAATACTGGTGGCCAAACTAGCTCAGCCCCCTCTTACTGAGATCCGACTACAAAAAAAATTTCAGATGGCTACTCTAAACAATTAGCAACTCAGCGTCAGGTTGCGACCTTTGCTTAAGAACCATTGCCGCAAGCACCACTCTTGCGCAGCACAGTGCTCTTGTCTAGTGCTACTTCTCTCGTACGTCTTGTACATCATCTACGGCAGTGGTTCTTAAACTGGGGGTCGTGACCCCCATGGGGTCATAAATGAAACGAATCCATTTAAATTCCATCCTTATCAGGGTGCTACAAAATTTCTTTTGCCTGTCGGGAAAGTGACTCAAATTTGGTTGTCTACAATCCCAAAGCACTTGCCCGAAATTTTTTTTTATCATCTGATGGCTGCAAAGCAATTTCAGCCATCCCATTGACTGAGTATTGCATGTATTGGCAGACATGTTTCCATAAATCGGGTTTTTTTCTTCAATTTTTGTTTCGGGGGTAACGGTCCTGACCAAGAATGTCTGATGAGGTCGTGCGACCAAAAAGGTTCAAAACCACTGATCTACGGCTAGTGTTGTCAATCGGTTGTAATTTCGTAATCGATCATCGATTGGACCCAAGTAACCAATGATCGGTTACAATCGGTTACTCGGGGTGTTGAATGCCTGCGTGTGCGTAACGTCGTGTGCATGTACGTGTGTGCATGTACGTGTGTGCATGTATGTGCTTGTTTAGCCCTGTTTACTGTTTGTTTTGCACTGTTTACTACTGTGTGTATAATACATGTACTGATTCTCAACAGTTTTCCAAGTTTTATTGTTCAAATTAAAAAAAAAATTCGCTTGGTTCGAGCCACTGTTCAACCGATGATCGAGTATAATCGATGATCGTGACATCACTATCTACGGCCCACGAATACCGTCAGCGCACTCACTCGGAGTGCAGCGGCAAACTGCGTCTTCAGGTTGTTGCTGATGCTGATGTGGAGAGGTTCGCGGCAGGTGATCATGGCCATGCCCGCCGTCATGTAGGCGACCATGCGGTGAGCGGCCGCGCGCATGCGAGACTGCTCGTGGTCCAGCGCAAAGTCCTGCAAGCAAGCAGTAAATCTTACTCTTAAAATCTTAAATCTTATTTTATCTAACTCTTACCGTGTAGACTGTGCAGTGTTAATGTACACCGGCTAAATAAAGTCCTGCAAAAAGTCCTGCAAGCAAGCATTAAATCTTGCAAACGCTTACCACGTCGACCTTCAGTATTAATCTGAACCTAGCATTGTGACTGACGATGAGAAACTGTCCAAGAGTCTATTCGTTTCGATCAAACTTCTCAAGATTCCTATCGCGCATCATTTACCCGCAATGAAATGAGCATTCAATCAGATTCCAAATATTTTTGTTGATATCTGATCATAATATTTATTCTGATGTTTTATATCTGGTTTATATATCTTATATTTTGTTTATACGACATTTTGCTCAGTGCCCAACTCCCAAAACATCACACGTCACAATCACAATATGTCAGTGAACCAAACATGTGCACGCACTTTCTTCACGATCTGTTCGCAGGTGGTGAGAGCAATCTTGATGGAGCGTTCGACGACAGGCAACAGAAGTTCCTGCACGGCTCGTTCGATGGCCGGTCTAACCAGCTGCTTCAAGTGCGGGTGTGCTTGGAAGAGTGGCATCTACAACAAAACCGGCCGGGATTTTAGCTAACGAGGTTTAGACCGGATGCAAGATTAAATTTCCATCAATGAAGGGTCGCATTGTATTATAAAGTACCCCAAGCATCTACAACAAAACCGACAGGATTTTAGCAACCGAAGGATTTTTGCCAACGAGGTTTAGACCGGATGCAAGGTGAAGTTTTCATCAAAGAAGGGTCGCATTGCCTCATAAAGCACCCCAGCATTGGGGTAACTGCAGCGATACGTTCAACGGGGTAATTGCAAATTGCATTGCAATCGTCAAATTCCTGTTTATAAGTTCTACGCAACCTAGCTGCTTTTATAACGCGAACATCTGATCTTCGTGTCGGTTCTACCTCGGTCACATCACCCTAAAGGCCAAGCCACACTGCAGCGACAACGACCGACCGTAACGACAAACGACTTTTCAGAAAATTAGAAACTATTGTTTCCTATGAGCCATTGCACACTGACGCGACGACGACCGGCGACAACCTCGACGACAAAAATATTTAGAAACGTTTCTCTTTTTCAGCGACTTTCGCCGGCGACACTTTACAAATGGCCAATCACAGCCGTTTCCATCGGCACGTGACAAATTATATTATCGTTATACGTTTGCTGTCCGAAGCTGGGGGTCAAAGGTCAAAGGTCAAGAGGTTGTAAAAGAAGGGAGAACATTCACTCTTAACTTAAAGTATAGGAGGAAATGCAGAATTGCGGCACAAAATCTAAACGGCTCGACTAGGCTCGTGAATGTCGGTGTATTAGCATCATGGTAGGGAAAACATCACTGTGCCGAAATTGGAGGTCAGTAGTTGGGCAAGGGAGTTCTTAGACATTTCTGAGGATGGCGACGGCACTGAAACTTTTTTTCAAGCGCGTGACCTAGCATTTTTATGGGCTTTATTCTGGCTGAAATGTTTCCCTTCTGCTGACATGCGAAGAGTAAGTGCTCGGGATAACCTTTTGACCCTCAAGAGGAGGGTTAACATGGATTTGTTGAACTGTTAACAAAGGTAACTGTTTTGCATTAGAGCCCCCTTCCCCCACCCTCCCTTCCCCTCCCCCCTCCTCCCCCCCCCTCCCTACCTCCCCCCCCTACCTCAGAGAAGGCAGTTAAGAGCATGGATTTGTTGACTGTCTGTTAGAAGAATTTGACCTCGCCGGGTTTGCTAGTAGAATCTTACATGCCTGGATGTTATAGGCTACAATGTCACAGTGAAATTTCAAAAAGCTAATTTGGTTAAGAAGTGTATATTCCTTAAATTCGTATTAATTTCTATGTCTGTCTGTACGTTCAGTATTGTTACCATGTCACGTACCACTGGCCAGTGCGGTGCATGTGTTGGGCAGTTTTTTGCCTGCAGTTAATTCGTTTACAGTGGCCAGCTTCTATGAATGTTGCAGGGCCTGTAGGCTTGCGTAGGTAAATGGATGAGTGCTACTACTACGTAATCTGTCGTTGCAAATGTTGTTGCTACTACGAATGCATGGGAAGCCTTCCATCTTTAAGTCTGAACGACACTTCACGTACACGCCTGATCTCGTGGCAACCTTCATATCGATCCCAACCGGAGACACGTTCTTGTTGAGAAAGGTTCCTGATACCAGTCTCTGTGCATATCCACTATTTCGGCGTGTATGTGAACACATTTGGGACTTAACAGGGTTGTACTATGAATCCCAGCCACTCCAACCACAGAGTCACCGCAGTAGACGTTAGATGAGCGGTTTATTTTTTTTTTTTTTTTTGTTTTTTCTTTTTTTTTCTTTTTTCCTGTCGTCTATGCGGGGCACTTGTTGTACTAATACCAGTGTAAAGGGGTTTGTAAAGAATATCAGCCTGTATAGCGGGTCCGTACGAAACTAATTGTAAGGGGTTGTACAATACCATTGTAAGAAGTTGTACAATACACAGTGTAAGGGGTTCTACAATACTAGTGTAAGGGGTTGTAGAATACCCCGGCCAGGTCGGTAAGGGGGATTTGTCACCGATTGACTGCAGTGTAAGTGGTTGTGGCAAAAACCAGTGCAAGGGGTTGTACAATACACAGTGTAAGGGGTTCGACAATACTAGTGTAAGGGGTTGTAGAATACCAGTGTAAGGGTCGTACAATACGAGTGTAAGTGGTTGTACAATAGGTAGGCTGTCTAATACAGTGTAAGTGGTCGTACAAGTACCAGTGTAGAGTGTTGACAGACCGAGTGGGTCAATACCAGTGTAATCGGTTGTAAGTAGTTGATTGTAAATTCTTTGTTTTATAAACGACGCACTGCTGATTGCCACTGAAAAGGCTGACAAGATAAACGGAACCAGAGGAGGCCGATTGCAAGCGACAAGCATCTTTTCTCATCTTTAACAAACTGTCGCAGGGCAAAACTAAACAGCAGAAGGTATGGCTCCGTCACACTCACACGTGAAGTAACTAGCTGTAGGTCTCGAGGCGGAGATATGGAATATAGAAACAAGTTGTGGATATAGAAATCAGTTACACCTAACCCTAACCCTAAACGCACCCGCGACCTAACTCCGATAGTCACCGAAACCGATCAACCCTAACCCTATCTCTATCTAATTAAAAACATATTAGCCAAATAATAAACATAAAAATAAATAAAAGACCGAAAATTAGCCAATTGCAGAGCCGTCTTTTATTGGCGGCTTACGCGCCCCTAGCGGGATCACTATCTCTCCCGGTTGCCTGCAGACCTGCAACGTGTAGTATGGCCCCGTAATTTGTTCTTTACGTGACGCGAGTCAAATTAACGTGTACCGGACGACTGTCTGAAAGAAATACGGACAGCAAGAAATCTCTGAACTTTATAGTTTTTTAAATGGCCAGAAAACAAAGAACAGTGAACACGAGTGTCAACAATCAACTATTATCATGTACATGATCCTACTGCTGTCTGCTAGATTTAGATCTATATGGCCCTGTCACGTACATTGACGACTTTAGCCAGCTGTATGCCGGATCGTATCAGAAAATTTGGTGAATATCGCTGGCGATACTCGATATAGAGTTATGGTAAGTTTGTATAAGTTAAGAGACGCCTGACAGCACGGCTGAAGAACGCTGCAAAGACACGCTGGTATACTCGTTAGTACGGTGAGGTTTGGTCTAAAAAATTTTGATCATGCTCAAAAATTTTCCGACGTATGCCAGCGTATGCCCATACTCCAGCATACGCGGGCCATAAGTTGTAGGTAGTTATGCGATCAGTTGAACCACACGTCACACACGTTACTTCTAAGTTACTCATAAGTCGAAAATACGTCGAGATAGATTCTAGCGCCGTACCCAAAACTTTATTTCTAACTTATGAAGTAACGTCGCTTTGAAGCCTATGTGTAACTTATCGGCCATACGCCATAGTTGACGTATGTAGATCGTATTTGACGATGTTCCGGACGACCACAGAACTTACTGAACTGTTCTAACTTACAGCTACCGTATAATGCGTATTGGAGCGCTTTAGGGAATTGTATATAAAAATGGTATTGGCATGTTGAGTACTTGCGCACGGTGATGTTGATACTGTGATGTTAGGCCGGTTTATGATTTGGAATCGTCGAGCGACAGCCTTTTTATAGGCGTGTTGAACACGACAACGGCTGCAGTTCTCGGCTCTTGGAGCTATCACGCACGTCTACCCGTCGGCAATCCCCCGGCGAGTCCGGTATGGCGACGGCTATGCATCAACGGTTACCGACTCAATCCCGCGTTGGAAGCACCAACCTTGCGTTCTATGCAACGAAAGAGTTCAGTCCGCACACAACGCCCGACCAACCGCCGACCTAAGCATGTCGGTTGGTA